TGTATAATTATCCGTATAACAGGCGGTGTACCATTTATAGTATTATAATTAATGGATGTTTGAATGCTACTATTTTATTTTATGATTTAAGTTATGCTACAAAACTGCATTTAGTTATATTGTATATTGGTGACAGTATTGTGATAAATAATTCCCATCCATTCCTGGTTTATAAATAGGAAAAAAAAGTTATGTAGTATAATATGCCTATATGGCTCTATATGTATGTACTGTAAGACGTTAATTTGAACAAGCTGTATGGGTATCAGATGCTGATCAAAGTTCTTATTRGATTACACTTTAATACAAGTTCGTTTATTTATATTTCCATGAATTACTGTTTCGTATAACTTATATTATTTATTATTTCTATAACCAATATAACCTAATATTATAATTAATCAGAATTATCGGTATCACTACAACTTTTCTACGGCTGTATTACATCTGGTACAGTGATAGCGTGAATATTGACTACTGACTAGGTAGTATAATAACCCAATAATTAACGAATAAAGCACCTAATAACTAATACAAATAGTTTTAAGTAGTTTTTAGAAACATGTTTCGAATCATATACAATTAAATATCCTAACAAATCGACTTCTTTTATTTAAAACATTCCTGCATGGTCGTTGTAACTTAAGAATTTTAGATGAATCGATTACAGAATTATCAATTCAATATTATTAATGATGGTGGCTGATGAATGATGATGACTATTGACAATATATCTACCATACGGTCCATACGTAATATCATAATGTCGCATTACAATACAATACACGTCTTGTCAGCTATAAATTTCAATAGCATGAAATAATATTATCGCTCTATATATGGTAGGTAAACATAAGCTACAAGATCAAGCATTYRATAAAATATGGCGAGGTGATAGCTAACCAAAAATTTGACTTAATTTTTTACAACTCTGTGTAAATAACAAAAATCGAAAACATATAAACCCTCAGAAGCAATCAAGATGCTATGCATACCAGTTATGCATCATATGTCGACTATAGTGCAGTGTGGAGCGCAGATTGAATCGTCATTTATTACCTACATGCTGATTGGCGTATGTCTTGTGAATAAATTAAGCGAACAACACGTTGAAAACGAAATCGACTTTCGTTCGGGCCGCCTCTCCGTATGGCGTCCCATGGCAGCGGGGACACCTTTTATAAAAGACTGCGACCCGACRAAACGATCATCATACGTGCTGTAACCCCTGCAAAATGAGGTAAGTTCCGTCGACCAGATCGCAAACGGTGAACACGGTTGTGGTGTTTTCTTTCGGTTTTTACTWTATCAGCAGCGCGATAAAATCGATTAATATTATGATGATGTATGTGTGATTTTATTTTAGAACTCCTTTGTCGTGGCTCATATTTCTGGCGGCCCTGCTAGTTGAGGCATACGGTTGGAGGTCGGACGGCGAAGAGTGCGCTCTGCCTCTAAAACACTTCAAGTACATATCGTGAGTATGACAATTTTTTCAAAGTTTTTGTTTTTTTATTACTTTAAAGCCTCGACAACTAAGGTTATTAGCTTACATCATATTTAAATATTRCTTCTACATTATGGTACAATTTACAATACGTTTTACAATATTACAATATAATTATTTTTGATATGTGCAATGTTTAAAAGAAAAAACATAAAATTATATAAAGTTATACAGTTTGGTTATTTTTAGAAAGGTTAAAATATTGTTAGAATTTTCATAATCTGGTCCAAGTGCTTCATAAAGGTGTTCTGGAATGTTTAAGGAGGTTCTGGTATCAGCAAAACTGCGGCAGTGTAGAAGGACGTGTTTAATGGTTAATTTCCAAAGTATTTAACTCTAAGATGAGGGACTACCATACACGACGTAGGTACGAAATATTATGATTTTAGAATGTGCCGCAGGGCGACGTATTACTGCCGGCTTGGTCTTGTAAATTAATATTAAAATTCGTACGATAAAATTATAAATGATCGTTAAACTTGATAAACAGTAGCTACCTAATCATAATATTAAGTCAAGTTTTTATGACGTTATTTAATAAGCCATTTAATATTTTAACTATGCTGAGCAAAACAAATACATTTATTTAGGTATTTTACCAATATATATATTATATACCTAACATTTAAGTGATATTATTTGAATTATTATTTATTCTTATTTCATCAGGTGAATATTTAAATATTTCACTATATTAAATAATACCAAACCAACCGATCCTTAGATATTAATTGTTAATACAAAATAATTCTATTAAAATATATTTTTATTTCATAAAACATATTAATTCGTTTTTTTGAACTGTACAAATATCAGTGTAACGTTAATTAACAATTGTAGTGAAAAAATAATTTCACAAACTACAYCATTCAATGTGGTTATTAATCGAAATTTAAAATATTTATTTGATTTATCAAACTATATGATAAAATAACTGGTATTTGTTAATTTTTGGTTATAAATATTTATTAATTTCTTAATTTGAATAGTATTATTATTTATTAACTTATTTTAATTTAAAATAATGAAAATTTAGGTTCTTCAAATTCAATGTTCGTTTTTCTTATATTTAGCATTTAGCAAAGAAGGTAATAATAAATTTGTTTTGATGGAAATTGCGGCTCAGGTATATAGTTTTTGTTATTCACATAAGCATCTATTGGCTATTTATAAAATAAACATTTAAAAATACGTTATATTTTAAATTATGTTATAATATTATGCATGYAATTTAAAATGCAAAGYCACAGCAGTAACCGTGTTTATCTATAATAACAATTATTTAAGTTTAAAGTATTTTACATTTTAATAGATTCAATAGTAAATAACCCTAAAAGCTCAAACTTTCTCGATAGACCAACCTATTAATAGGAAAATATAGATTTAATTGACTAAAGTGACAGTTAAAAATAACTGTTTCCTAGTTTCAAATATTTGCAATCATTAAATTATAATAATGCTATTCATTGAGTGAATTTTTTTTCTTGCGAAGGTGATATTATTTATAGGTGTAATTAAAATTTAAAGAGCTTATTATAAAACTATTTAATCCATATTGAAATAAATTTCAGAACACCTTTACTGTTTAGATAGGTTACTCTATTTCAAAACATTATCTGCCCGTAATATATTATAACTATTGTATAATTGAACAGATAGTATAATACTAAAATGTTTGTATCGATTATTCAATAAATAGAATTTCATTTTCTCAATTGGTCTTATAATAGTCATGTGGTCACATGACTCGTGACTTTATAAATAAACACCTATTTAATTTAAGTACGTYGATAATACAAAAAAAAAATTATCAAATGGTAGAAAGTTTAAGTGCATTTCACTTATTGGGAACCCCTCGCGACATTGATCTGTTGTGATTTCGCTAAATGTATTTAAGAAAAAATTGCTAACTCATCCCGTTTAATTTCAAAACAAAATCGATTAACAACAATTAAATAACAAAATAACAACAAATTGGTACTGTTTAATATATTGTGCTCATCGGTTATCTAAAACAATAGAGATTTTTTTGAAGATTTCCATCACATGCATATAATATCGAATGATCGTTCAAAGTGAGAAGAGTTAGAAATTTTCTTTCGAACTTGAGACAGAAAAGAGAAAGTTCTTAAACATATTCCGAGAATTTTTTCTCTTATATTATAAATCAAGGATATCGAATATTTGGCTATTTTTAATTATCGCGTACTATGCTTTTGGATTTTGCAGTGTCTCTTTTCGAAACATTGTACTACATTCATCTTATTTTTAAGCGATTTTAATGGTATCTCATAAATTAAATTAAATATAGTTCATTGGATTTAGTATAATTTAATATTAATTTTAACTTTACAGGTTGATATTTTAAATGACTTATCTAAAATATATATAATATATTTAATTAGCATTTAGTATAATTTATTAAAGTTACGTTCTTAGTGTATAACACAGTTTTGTATTACAGGCCAACTGGTTATGGTGAAAAATGTATTTCGTATACTAATGTTTCCGAAGCTTTTCGCGAAGCATGCAGAGGAGTATTGGGCATAGAACCTGGAACCAACGATCTAACGGACATTCAGTTGGATAATTTAGGCGATGTAATTCAAGAAACAACGAGAATTTTATGCGAATGGTCAGTGTTTAACATTTATTTATCATAGATTATAAATAATTTTATTACAATTAATAGTTTTCACTATTTTACTATTTTTATTATTATATTTAATCGCTTTCATCTATATTATTATAAAACATAATTTTTATAATAATTTTATACAGTATATTATRTTATGTAATGTATAATATACCAATGAATATTACTGTAAAATTGATAAGTTGAAAACTTGAACTTAAAATAAATTATAGGCTATAGGTAGGTTCTATACTGACTAGTGATAACTGTAGGTACTAGTATTTCATAATATCTTTACATTTATAGCACTTGAGTTGCTATTCCGATATTATAATAGATTGATGAATATAATATACAGTGGTGGCAGTTTACTAAGCATGCTTATCTCCATATTTTCCTTTAATAATGAATTTATTAAAATTCTGATTTTTGATTTATTTTTAAGTAGGTAAGTAAATATACTTAAGTGTCACATAAATACCAAGAGCCTTTGTATCATTAAAATAATGTCCAATGTCGATACACGATACAACATTTTTTTTCTAAATAAATGCCGTATACTCTTTTTACTCTCTCTCTCTCT